CACAAGGAAACAATCAAGCAGGCGAGCTTCCCTGGGTGTACTTCTGGACATAGATGGCATATTTAGGTACATAGAGCAAATACAGTCTCTGAGAACAATTTGTAATTTCTGGTTCAATACCTTCAAATTAGAAGTAGTGGCAAAACAAGAGAAACACACACACATCTAAAAACCAGCTTTAATTCTGTTGAGGGGGAGCAGGTCCCAAAGGTTTTCAGTGATCTTCTCTTTATTTTTGTATAAATCCCTATAAGCCAGCTAATCCTCTTAATTTCCCTAACCTCATTTACATTTTCAATGCTAATTTCCCACCAGGTTATAAATTCTCTGGGTGAGGTGTTTCCTTAGCCTTGTTCCCACTTTATTTGCCACTCCCAGTTCAGCTTAACGTTTTCTTGTTGCCTACTATAAGTCTGGCACTATCATGTATGCTACAAGATGAAAGCTGGTTTGTTCTAATGAGAGAGAATCAAAAAGAATAGCATATTTAAGGCACCCTTTGGCAATACTGACATTTACAGACTATCACTAGGTGACTTTTGCAAGTTCAAGCTCATAAACATAGAAACAGAAGGAAAGAAATGCACATTTACTTATATAAACTAGATACATGTGCACATACACATACATACATACATACATACATACATACATACATACATACATTCAGCATGAAGAAATCTCAGCCCCCAAAAGTGTTTTAATTAAAATGTTGATGGGGGTTAGGATATGCTTACCCCCAAATACGGCACCCTGGCATTTGGAAAAACAACGGGAAAGAGAAGGTCACTCTCACCTTCCCCTCACCCCTTCTCCTGACAGTTTCTTTCGCTGTGCAGAAGCTCTTTAGTTTAATTAGATCCCTCTTGTCAATTTTTGTTTTTGTCGCAATTGCTTTTGGGGACTTAGCCAAAAATTCTTTGCCAAGGCTTGATATCAAGACGGGTATTCCTAGGTTTCGTCTAAGATTTTTATAGTTTGAGGTCTTCCATTTAAATCTCAAGTTATTTTTTGTATATGGTAAAAGGCAAGGGTCTAGTTTCATTCTTCTGCATATGGCCAGGCAGTCATGGACTCCACAGAGGGTATATACAACCTTACTGTGTGCCAGGTCAAATTGGGTAACATGATAAGAATTCAGCAAACCATCAGAGAACTCAGAAGACTGTCTTTTTTGTTTCAGTCCTAAAGATTGTTTACATATTGTTTTCTCCACATAAACAGCTGCATAAATTTTTTTTTGTGTATAATGTATTTACACATCTGTATTAAGTTCAGGGATGTCAAATGTTCCAGTATTCACTTTAGTATGTTTTATGAGCGAGGCCTAAGCTTTAGAATATAATAAAGCTTAGCAAATATTTGTTATGTGAATGAAAAACTCTGAACATATATAAAGTATAATATTTGGAAGAGCAATAATGAACTGTTGGCCTACTACCAGAAATAGGCTATTAGGACAGTTTGTCTGGTCAACTCAATATTGTGTAAATATTGGGTTAGTTACCACTATTTAAAATTAAGAAATTTTGCATTTTAGCAAATGAACAATATTTTATGCTTCTCTTAACATACATGGAAATCTACCAGGAAATCTGACAGCATTGAGCTGACTTTCCTACCTGCCAAAAATTGGCTAGAATGAAGTAAGGGACCCCTTTTAGAGGGGGTTTTATGCTCACCAGCTTACCACAGAAACTACTTACTACTTGATACCAGGCCTCCATGAGGGATTTGACCTCTTGATTTCAGTTTCTGCTTGTATAAAAATATGACTTGAGTTGGTTTAGGGAATGTACATGGAGGTTGATGAACCTCTGTGTATTCACAATGCGGTATTAGGAGATCTCTAATTCTTCACTGTGTATGTATTTACACGTGGCTTTTTCTAGGAAATGGTTCTATCAAATTTTCAAAAGAATGCTAATTTAAAAACATAAAGAAACGTGGGATTAGTCAGGCAGTGAATACGCGAGTATTTACTGAATGTCTGCTATGTACAGTGCCTTGAGGTCTTTCAAGTGTCCACATGCACAAAAGCAAAAACGACATTGACCAAGATTTTACATATAGCAAAGAACCAATCAATGTTTTACTGACTTAATTCAGCATTGTGCTTAAAAGTGAACGACAGTCTCTCAACAGCAGTTCTCAACTGAAACACACATTTCACTTTAGCAGTTTTCTTGGACTTTAATCAGACTGTTCAGCCTCCATACTTTAGCCAAGAAAAAGGAGTTCAAATAAAGGGAAAGCCTTGTGGTGAAAGACTTCTCAACCTGAAACTAAAAGTACATACACTGCTTTTCACCTTCTTTCTCAACACCTCCAATTTATACAAAGTGTGACATTTTAGAAAACCAAAGGGTTTAATATTGACTCAACTCAATCCAAAATATTCCAACTGATTAAATATACACCACCTTCTTTGGTATTTAATGACTCTTGAAGCTAAACTAAATTTCTAAGAAGCATGAATGTCTTCCTAGTTTAAGACTTTGTTTGTCTTGATTTTTTAAAGGGAGAAACACATGCCTCAGAAAACCTCTAGCTATATTCTATGCAGATACACTCACATCATCACACCACCTGGGTTTAAAAAAGCACTAAATTGAATCTTAAGAAAAAGATTGCTATTAAAAGGAATTTGTTGGCTGGGCGTGGTGGCTCAAACCTATAATCCCAGCACTTTGGGAGGCCGAGGAGGGTGGATCACAAGGTCAGGAGATAGAAACCATCCTGGCTAACATGGTGAAACCCCATCTCTGTTAAAAATACAAAAAATTTGGGACACACCTGTAGTCCCAGCTACTCTGGAGATGGAAGCAGGAGAATCATTTGAACCCAGGAGGTGGAGGTTGCAGTAAGCCAAGATCACACCACTGCACTCCAGCCTGGGTGACAGAGCAAGACTGTCTCAAAAAAATGAAAAAAGAAATTTTTTTTAGAATTCAAGAGGTCACCCACAAAGTTAACTTTAAATAAGCTTTTAAGAAAGGAGAACCATCACATTTGGACCACTTTTATATACGTACAAGCAACGCTTGTTCCAGTTGAGCACACAGAGGGGAGTACCTTCTCCCACAACTGCAAAATATTAATGGGAAATTCATATAGCAAGATTGGTTATAGTTACCGGTGCCAAGTAAAGGGGTAAACAATAGACCAAGCAGAAGAGCTCACTTTAAATGGTCGTAAAGATATCTTTTCAGAAATACTGGGAAAGGAAGTCTTATGAATTAAGAATGAGAGAAAGGATATAGAAGTTACATTTCAGATAATGGATAAACATTTAGATTGAATTTTCTGACTACATATAGGCATTCAGAGAGTATAGTGATTGAAGTACAGCACTGTTCCAGTTGTAAAGCTGTAAAATAGTATGTTTTATGTATCTGTAATAATGAATTAGACTTGACTTGTATAGCACTCTAGATTTTATGAAGATTATTACATACATTATGTCACCTTATTAAGAGAGAAGTTACCATCAATAAGTGGCTGAATTCTAATCCAAAACCTGATACATACACAAACATACACAGAAATGTGCACACTCACATAGACATATATAAACATATACACTCACATATTCTTTCATATGTACACATACACTCAAACACATAAATGAATATGTACAAACACACTCACAGACTGGAAGCTTATACTTAATATTCACACATGCTCACAAACATACTCACTGTCACAATTGTACTCATACACTCAAATATATATATACTCACGCAATTATAGACTCATAAACACTGACACATATGATCTACTTAAATATATGTACACTTTTGAACATTTTATGGGTCTAGTTTGTTGGCCATCTGCAGCTGTAGCTTATTAAAAGATAAATTTCCCAAATCAAAATTTACCCACCTAGCACAGATCTCTAAATTAAATAAAAGAAGCAGAAAGAGCTTTAATCTCTTTCCAACTAAAATGGTTTACAGTTACAAGAGTTAACTATTTAATCTTTATTTGTCTTGAATATCTCTTCTTTGATATAGGACAAACTACTTGTTCCATTATGATACATCTTTGTCAGATGATAGATGACCTGCAGTGTTTCTGAAATAGTTTTGAATCGCAGTCACAAGGTGCTTGTAATCAAATGTAAAGACCTTCCATGGGCCGAGAAACCAGGTGTGGCAAACCAGAGAGCAAATTTGCTCAAAGGTCTATTGTCAGTTGATATAAACAATCACCAAAAGCTGACCTCTGAGTCCCTTTATAGGCCTCTAATTTTATGTTCCTACACAAAACAAATTTTTCTCTAATTTACAATTTTAAGTTGCTTAACTTAAAAGTCAGAGCAAAAATGAGCCACATGGAGAGACCATAAGGAGTGTAGGTGGAAAGATTTAAATTGAAGCATAATTCACTGTCTAATGCACATTTCCTTGCCGAAACTGGGCTCTCTCCATCTCCCTAAAGCTCCCTTCTTCATCACCTTCTCGCTAATATTTTTCTGTGTTTCACTCATATTAATTTTGTCTTAGATCTTCAGGGGGCTGTGCTGGTAATGAAATCTCCCGTTTGCTAATGGGCAATAGACTCAGAGTCCGAGTTGCGTGATGACCTATGTTTCATATCTAAATTTGTGTCAGTCACAGGGATACCTTCTTCTTCTTCTTTTTTTTTTTGTTAAATGTTTCTACCCTGCATTAAAAACCTCAGACAATCACAGACACCCAAATGACTGGTTGTAAACAAGCAGCTGTCTTTCAGTCGCTACCACATGGAAAGACATCTATCTTGTCATAATTGGCATGGAGAGTAATTGTGAACCATGAGGCAATTACTAGATGAAAGGAGCCCCTGGTTAGCACCTTTGCATTCCAATGAACTACTGCCACCTGTTTTTTGTTTTTGTTTGTTGTTGTTTTTTTCCTTTTTAGCTTCTTTGCTTTATGCAAGTCTCATAGAAATCCAAAAGGATTATGCAGAATAGACTCTCTTTTTTGGCATGATAAGGAGAGGATTGAACTCACAGTATTTGATTTGATGAGGCTGATCTGTTCCTTCTTATGTTCCAGAAGTGCCTACAATGGACATGGGAGAACTTGATTCTCAGAGGTTGAGTTGGACCCCCAAATAGGCAGATCATAGACAGGAAGAGGCAGTCAAATCATCTTGGCTCTTGCAATTTATGGCTGTAGACCACACCACCAACAACATGCCTAGAAAGAATACGTTTTTAAGTTGTAAACAGCACTTCCTCATCCCCTCAGATGCTGATTGTGGCTAAGGCTACAAACTTAAATTAAAACTTAAATTAAACTTTACTTAATATTTTATTAATTAAAAATGTTAAATGTTGCTGCTATTGTTCAAACCTGCCATCTAAGGAAGTTTGTATCAAGGCTATTCCTTCCACATACTTCTCCAAGTCAATAACAATATCTAATATTTCAGTCTTTACTTTGTGCCAGACTAAATAGTATGAGTGCATTATCTCAGTTAAACTTCCAGAAAACTCAGTCATTCTTACTCTTAAACATGAAAAAACCAAGGCATAAAAAAGTTAAGCAACTTGCCCAAGCTCATGTACTTAGTAAATAAATGAGCTATTGTGTCTATAGCTGTCTGATATTAAAGTATCATATTTAATGTTTTTTACCATTATGATTTAAAAGGCAATATCATATAGACACTATTTATAATAAAAAACCTATAAAATTGCATCAGTAGTCATACTTCAGTGTCAGTTTTTATTGTACTTTATCTCATCTCTCACCTGAACTCCACAACCACCAAGAATGATAGATAAGGTATTATCATCTCGATTTGATGAATGAAAATATTAAAAAAGAGGTAAAGTGGCATTCCAAAACACGTAACATATATCCAGTCACTCCCTCCCCTACACACCCTATCACATACACCTAATGAAGTGCAGTAGAAACAAGATTCCTGAATTTTTATAATCTTCGAACTGTCATCTTTATTGTGGGTGATATATTAGAAGCTAAATTGTGAGTGTTACATGTTCCCAGGAAAATCTGAGCTAGACAAAATAAATAGGATTATTATTGGCAGCATTTTTAAAATAAATACAATAGGGATTATGCAGGTTCTAATAATGAGAAAAAGAATAGAAGGAAAACTTTGACCCATGTCACAGTGGTGGAGAAAGCAATACACATGCATAATCAAAAGGAATCTTCATTGTGACTGCAGGATAATATTTTTTTTCCAAAGACCTGTCAACTGGACAATGATTTAGTATGAAGGGAGAATTCCCAGTCTGAGCACATTCAGAATAGTCCTTTCCCAAATGTCCACCATTTATCTTGACTGGTTTTTTGACTCCATGATGTTGAGGGATAATAAAGCATTGTTTTTGGAGCAATATCTCCTTGGCCAGGCTACAGCTGGGTCTTGGTGAGAATAACATATTAGAACCAAATTTGTTAACTGCTATCAGGAAACTTATAAAGGTAAATGGTGGCAAAAATACACATATAAAAGCTATGCTCATAAATTACAAAGTGCTAAATATTGTACTATAGCCTAGAGGAGTTCAGCCGAGGGTGAAGACAATGTTTGCCAGTTCCACAACAAATTAGTAGAACACAATTACAGGACATACTAGTGGAGAAAACTGTCTTCAAAATTCCCTCGCTGAAATTAATTTATTCACATAATACAAGACATTTAACTTACAAGTAAATTTCACATCATTTGGTATTATTGAATGTACTTGAATCAGTCTAAGTCCTCTCTAAAATATCCTCACTGTGGTTCAATCAGAAAAGCCATAGGAGCATCACAGCACCAGGGATAAGTAAGGCAAAATGCCTGAGGCCTATTACTCTTGCTTTTCTCTTTAATAGGTAATCCAGAGCCCTCTCTGCAGTTCATTACCATTCATTTAGTTTGAGCTCTTGCTGAATGCTTTTTGTCTTCCATTTCAGTGAGCATTTCTTCAAAATCGTTACTGATTCTTTTCCCTTTAGTTGCTCTTTACTGGCCAGGAATATATATTTATGTCATTTAATCTCATACATTTTATGATAAGACACAAAATATTTCTTCCTAATTACTTGCATGTAGGATTTAGAGTTGTAAGAGATATTACAAGTTTTATACTTGGTTTTCTTCACGTTGTTGGTGAGGAAACCAAGGCACCTTAAGCGGTTAAATTTCAAGACCATGGGGCATAGATAATAGTTGGCATCAGAAGAGACCCACTCTTTTCTCTTCCTTTTTACATCTCTTCAAGCTGTTTTGTTCCTATAAGATATTTATAACCTCGTGGCATTTGAAAGCAAGTTAGTAGAAAGATAATTACTCCTCAACATTTGCTACTGAATGGATAGAGTCATCCAGACCATGGAGACAGAAGGATGAGTTGACGTTCGTGTCTTTAATCTGTTATATCCAACTGTTCCTTTTTTTCTGAAAACTGCTGCTGACTTCAAGTAAGGATATGTGCTCTTTTGGTGTTGAACATATGAGATAAGGTCCGTGATGAATTCACACAGCTTTAGTTGAACTACTAAACATCTCAGTAATGTAAGAGGCCCAAGGATTCTCTAACTAGAACGGATTAGCCATCTCTCAGTAACACAGAGAAGGCCCAGCTATTACTATTGTAGGGTACTGACTTCCATCTAGAAGGTATTTTCCTATCTCAGTGAGATGTTACACTTTGATAAGGGTGATTTCCTAGGTGGGTGTCTTTGGCCCTAGGAAATAATGTAACCTTCCAGATGGTAAATTTCAAGTACACACAGAACTCACAGTATCCTTAAGTATTTGTGGCCATTGCCCCTATGTGAAGAAAGTAATAATGACAAAATGTGATAGAATCGCATGTGCCTTTCATTTTTTACCCTTACTCCTAAGACATAAAAAGACCAGAGAACTAACCAGTAGAAAGCAACAGGAAAAAGAAATTTATTTTGCTTTATAAGCATAAATATTTGAACTGGTCATGTTTTTCATTAGCATCGTCATTTCAAAAAGTTTTATGGTTAATTTTTTCTTAAAATTGCTAACAAAATAAGAACTCTGTATTATCTTTATAACAAAATGGTTGCAACATTAGATAATGTGCTTTGTGTATCAGATATTTGGTTACATGCTTTGCATCATGGTTCTTCTTCACAGCCATTCCACAAGGTAAGTATCATTGCCTGTGTTTTACAGACAAGGACACTCTTGATGAGATTAAGTAGTCTAAATCACACAGCTAATAAGTAGAGGGAAAATTTATTATCCCTTTCTGACTCTAATTCCTGAGCCCCAGAGGGATTATAAAAACAAAACACTTGCTCAGAGACCATAGATGTGCTATGTGGCCAGCTCGACTGATATCAAACTGTCTGACTCTAGGGACAGAGAGGAAAGAGATTAAAGATATCACTCTTGTTAAAAGTATGATAATGACTGGGGATAGAACCGTCATGGTTTGGAGTATTGCAGAGCAACTCTTTAGATCCCTGGCTTATAGTTATTTATAATTTTGTTGCAACAAGAATTTAAACTGTGCACATCTTAAGGCTGACCATTGTGAATTCATAAATTAGCCAAATATCCAGCGTTTGTACTTCAGTATAGTTTGTTATTCTCTGGTCATTGTTGAGGGATCAGTAACATTCATGAATGACCAACTTAGTTTCATGGTGAAAATGACTTAGACAACACAAGCATTTACTCATCCTTAACACTGAACTATAGAAAAAGCTAAGTAGTCAAAGAATATGACAGTTATTGGCTATCAAAGAAAACAAAATAAAGCTTTTATAATTGACTTCCATTTGGCAGATGTGAAGGAAGGTATAAATCTTTGTAATCTTAGATTATGAAATGGTTTTGGCATATAATATCAAAAGCAGAAGCAACCAAAGAAAAACAATAAATTAATTAGGCTTTACCAAAAATTAGCAATTGTTTGCTTCAAAGAACACTACCAAGAAAATGATGAAGCAAACCACAGAATGTAAGAAAATATTTACAAGTCATGTCTCTAATAAGGGTCTTGTAGTCCAAATACATATTAAAACAACCTCCTACAACTCAATCATGAAAAGACAGATAACATAATTAAAACTTGACCAAAAAATTTGAATAGATATTCTAGTCTAATAATCATATAAAAAGATGCACATAATTATTTACTAGAAAAATTCCAATCAAAACCACAAGATACCACTTAACATCAGTATAATTATTATAATTTAAAAAAGATAACAAATGTTAGCAAGGATTTGGAGAAATTAATTCTCCTACATTGCTGGTGATTGTGTAATATGATGTAACTACTATGGAAAACAATTCACTAGTTTTTCAGGTGCTAAAATATTCTGGAATTAAATAATAGTGATAGTTGTACAATCTTGTGATTTTACTAAATCAAACTGTACATATGAAAATGGTGGCTGTTATGCTAGGTGAATATCTCAATGAGAAATAATAAAATAAAACTCAAAATTTTAAAAAGATTACCTTGATTTAACTGTTTAAAATAGAGCTTTGATGACCCCATTCCTTGCTCCAGAAATGCTCATGACTCATTGTTAATTACAGAATTAAAATCCATTCCTTGTAATGGTTTTGGGAACTGTGTATAATTAAACTGAACCCTCATCTGTTTATATTTTTACACGATTCTCCTTGAAGTCTTTTATATTCCAAGAAAAATAAAATTTCCTCATAATTCCATTCTTTTGTACCTTCTCATGTTTCCCTCACCTTGATGTATATCACACACACACACACACACACACATACACATCCCATACATACATCCCATCCTTCTTCAGTTTTTGAAGGTGAAACTATAAAGATAATAACCCCATATCTTCTCCAGAGGTTTTTCTCCCCTTTCTGATCTCCCAAAGCATTTTATCAATAGATCTCTTAAACCACATTTCACTCTAAACTTTATACTTAAGAGTTATTTTTGTCCCTGCTATAACTTTTCTACTTTGTGCCAAAATGCTTGGCAGCAGAATAAATACTTTTTTTTACCTTTTCTTTTTAAGATGTAGTACTAAAAACAAATGTACTCATGGAAAGGTAAATGAAGGAGCATGTGAATAAATCGCTATCTAAATAACCTAGTAGCAATGTGTGTTGGGATGCATAAAAGAGAAGATATTTGGAATAAGATCTTCAGTTTCATTATGATTCTTCTTAAAAAATTTTTTCATCTTGGTATAGACCCTTTGAT